GATCCAGGAGGTCACAAAGGATGGAAGGCAACATGACTGACCTAGAGTCACGAAGTGAGGTAGGTCAGAGCTAAGCCCAGAGGCCAATTCATGGTCCAGTACTTGCTCCTTTCATTCCACATTCAAAGTAGGCACCCAATAAGTGTTCCCTGAATGCTTCTCAAAACAGCACTCAAATGCCATAAGTGAAACTCACCTCCCTTCTAAGATGGGTAAAATGTGTGTACACTGGTATCCAGATGAAATGATGAGCCCACTGGAAGTCAAGTTCTTTGGCTTATTGTGGTAGAAACTGAAGAGGCTGTCTATGCCGTAGGCAACCTTAGGAATCCCGTAGCACTCAAAAAGAAGCTCGGACATCATTTGTCGTGAATACAGTGGGTTGCACACGGCTTCTGTCAAAACTATGGGATGATTAACACAGCCCTAGTTGGAAAGAAAAGAGTAAATGGACGGGTGATAAAAGAATACTATTTTTAAAGCATACAAGAAACCAAAATCCTTATTGCAAGGGCTGAATTTGCTTTCGGTTTTCAATCAAATACCTGATCAGATGCAACTGTAAGACATTCATCTCATCTACTGCAAGTTGTTTTGGAAAACATGAAAGTGGGTTGATTTAAGGTTAATAAGTCAAGCCCCACACAAACTGTCAGCATATCATGTTGGCTCTATCTTCGAATATCTCCAAAATCCAACTGCTTCTTACCACAACCCCCAATATCCCCCTCATCTAAGTCACCATCATCCCTCATGTCCTAACAGTAACAGCCTCCTACCTAGTCTCCCTGTTTCTACCCTATGACCCATGGCAGTCCGTTCTCCATATAGCAGCTATGGTGATCCTTCTGGAACATAAGTCATGTCCCTCTTCTGTTCAACACCCTGCGATGGCTCCTCATTTCAGACTAAAAGCCTAAAAGGTGTGTGATTTACCCCTTCATTACATCTTTGACTTCTCTTCCACTCACCACTCTTCCCCTCCCTCTAGCTGTCCTCACCTAGGATTAGGGCACACTACTGCCTCAGGACCTTTTCACTGGCTGTTCCCTCTCTGGAATACTATTCCCTCAGATATTCACATGGCCTGTTCCCTCAATCACCTCCTTTAGTTCTTGCTCGAATATCACCTTCTCCGAGTCCTACCTTGGTCATCTTACCAAAAAAATGTAACCCTCTCCTCTCTTTCTTTCATGCCATAGAATCTACTACTTAATTCGATTGTTTATTGTCTGTCTTTTCATACTAGAATGTCTTTCCATACCAGCTGCACAAGCGCAGGAAACTTTGTGTTACGTTCACGGATATATTCCAAACCCCTGGAAAAAGTGCCCGACTCAGAGTAGGTGCTCAAAAACCTATTTGTTAGTAAGTGAATTTATTAACAAACGAGCATATATGCCCGAATGTATGCTCCAAGAGAAAAGGGGCGTTGTTTTGTTCGCTGCTATACCCCAAGCGTCTAGCATAGGGCTTACACATGTTAGGCGCTTAAATATTTGATCGACTGACTAAATGAATGACTAAATGACAATCAGAGCTACTGGAGTGACTGTCTCTCCGAGAGCGGAGAGAGCGGAGACACGACCTCACCCCGCCCCTCACCTGTGAGGAGACACCCAGGTGCTGGAAACTGTAGTCAAACAGCAGCTCCTGCAGTTCCAGGTTGACCGGCACATTGCGGTCGAAGGGCGAGCGCAGCATCCAGCGCAGCGGCTCCAGGCTGCCCAGAGCGTTGCCCACCTGCGGGCCCGCCCCGCCCCGGGCCCCGCCACGCCCGCGGGCGCACACGGCGCGGAACTGCAGGCGCGGCTCGGGGCCCGGGTCCGGCCCCGGGCACGCCCAGCCGGCACGGGCCTGGAACGACCCGTTGTCCAGCACCAGTGGCACAGGCAGTGGTCCATGTGCCATTGGGCCGGCCTCCAGAACCGGATCCGGCGCGGCACGGGCATCGCGGAACGCGAACACATTAGCAGCTGGACCGGCCGCACTGACCGCCGCCATTTTGGAGCGTGCGCGCGAGCCCCGCCCTTCGCCGCTGCGTCCGCCCAGACGGCACGAAGCCCCGCCCCCGCCGCAGTACCCGCAGAGACAAGAAGCCCCGCCCCCGCCGCTGTGCCCGCCCAGAGGCAAGAAGCCCCGCCCCCGCCGCTGTGCCCGCCCAGGCGGCACGAGGCCCCGCCCCCACGCGTTTCGGGGCCTCCAAGCCTCCTCCCCTCGCTAAGTACGGCCAGCCTCTCCACCTGACTCGCACTTCGTGGCCCGGGCCGCCTTCGGGATCGCTAGGCCTCGCCCATCGTGGCCGTGAAGTCCTGCCGTTGCTGAACCTGGCCCACAACGCCTGGTCTGACCACGCCCCTCCTCTCTAGCTGGGACTCCGGCCCAGTAAGCCGCGCTCTGAATGCATGATACCATCAAGTCCGGCCCCTTCCTGGCCTCTAGAGCCGGGCGCTAACGGGGCCCGCCTTTTCGCCTAGCCACGCCCTATGTCGCCTAACACCTTCAACCGCCCTTGACGCCGCCTCCGCGCGCTTACGCCCTTAGCTTTGCTGTCAAGGAAACAAACTCTGAGGTGCTGACGGTGTTCAGTTTCCTGACCAGGGAACTCGCTACGCAGGTGTGCTCACTTCGTGAAAATTCATCAAGCTGTCCACTTATGATTTGTGCACTTTTTTGTATGCATGTTATATTTTATAATACAATATAAAGTTTAAAAATATATATATATTTATTGATTCCCACAGACTGTGCTGTCTCACTGAAACCTCAAACGCTGAGAAAAGGACTGTAATTGTTCCTCACAATGTATAATATCTCTTTTAGTGGTGTAACTCCCCCCCATGGTCTTCTAGCTTGGTGTGATCATATGACTAAGTTCTGGCCAATGGGAATGGGAGTGGAGGTGATGTACCCCCCCCCCCCGTTTTAGCTCTAAAAGGATTGGGCATGCTCTCTTCTGCCCCATTTGCCCCTTTCCCCTAGCTAAGGCGATCAAAAGAATTGGAACAGCGGCCTTGTACTACCCCCTAGCTTTTAGAACACTTTGAAAGATAAAAGCAATTAATTATAAAAGGTGGCTCTGAATAAACATCCTTAGCAAGAGATGAGACCTCATACCTTTCTCAAGAACCTCTGTGAACACTTCTAGCCAGGTTAGGAGCCAGCCTGGTGGCAAAATCAGATTAAAAGTGTTGCCTTCCAACACAAACCCATTGTCTCAGACATCCGAAGGTACCCATCATTAAGCTGAGACAGCAGGGACAAACAATACAGACACTAGTAAATATAAGTGAATGTAAGTTTAAGAGCTATCTCTATGGAGCTGGCCTGGCGGCGTAGTGGTGAAGTTCACGCATTTGGCTTCCGCCCCGGGTTTGCCAGTTCGGATCCTGGCTGCGGACTTACCGGTCATCAAGGCGTGCTGAGGTGGCATCCCGTATGTAAGAGCTACAACTCTACAATGACAATACACAACTAGGTACTGGGGCTTTGGGGAGAAAAAAGAAAAAAAGAGGAAGATTGGCAACAGATGTTAGCACAGGACCAATTTTCCTCAAACAAAAAACTATATCTATGTGCATTAACATGGAAAAATCTCCCAAGATACATTTTTAAAAGATGGAAGTGAAGGCATTACAGTGTATAATGAACTCCCTTTAAGAAGGGGTGGGGAGGACAAATATATATGCTCTTGCTTGTATTTTCATGCAGATAGACAAGAGACTAATAAAAAAGGTTTACCTGTAAAGAGAGGGGATGAGGTGAGTGGGTCAGGTGTGGGAGACTTTTTCGATGCATACTTTCTGATATATTTTTGATTTTTTGACTGTGTGAAAGTATTACCTTTTCATTAAAAAATAATCTCTGTGTATAGGTGAGGTAGATTGGATTGTTGTCAGTTCTTCCCTCCTCTGTAATAGGATTATACATCCAGACTATCTGCCAGGTAGTTTTGTAGGGCCTCTCACTATAGACTTGGATAGTGGGCTTGGTCCTGTGATTTGCTTTTAGCCAATGGACTGTTAACCGAATGTGACCTGAGCAGAAGCTTTAAATGTGCTTGTGTGGTTTAGACCGTCCTCTTGCACTCCCGCAACTAGTCATGAGAAGAACATGCCCTGAGTCTAAAGAAGATGAGAGACACATGGAGCAGACCCAAACTGCAGCCTGGAGCCAAGTCCATCTGACTTGCAACCTCAAGTTGAGCTGCCCCATGGACCCATGAACAAGAAAAATGTTTGTTCTTATAACCCACTGAAATTCTGGAGTTGCTATGCAGCATTATTGCAGAGAAAACTGACTGATAGACTAGACCAATGCTGTCCTGTAGTACTTTCTGCCTTGATGGAATGTTCTACAATCTGCAATGTCTAATGTAGTAGCCACTAACCACATGTAGGCAGTAAGCACTTGAAATGTGAGTAGTGCAACTGAGGACCTGAATTTTCAGTTTTATTTAATTTTAATTTACACTTAATTTAAATAACCATATGTAGCTAGTAGCTATTCTGTTGGATAATATAGTACCAGACAAAATCTACATCTGTGATTATTAGCCCAAGGAAATTACTAGAAGAAAATAGATCAGAAGCCTAGTGTATCAGTTTCCTAGGTTTGCCATGACAAAGTACCACAAACTAGAATGGCTGAAGACGACAGAAATTTATTTTCTCATGGTTCTGGATGCTAGAAGTCAAAAATCAAGGTGTCAGCAGGGCCATGCTCTCTCTGGAGGCTCTAGGGGAGAATCTGTTCCTTGCCTTTCTCTTAGCTTCTGGTGTTGCCAGCAATCCTTGGCTTGTAGACACATCACTCCATTCTCTGCCTCCATTGTCAGGTGGCATTCACCCTGTGTGTGTGTGTGTCTTTCTCCATCAATCTCTTTTCTTATAAGGACACCAGTCATACTGGATTAAGGGCCCACCCTATTTCAGTATGACCTCATCTTTGCTAATTACATCTGTACATATGCAACAACCCTATTTCCAAATAGGGTCACATTCACAGGTACCAGGGGTTGGGACATATCTTTCTGAGAGACACAAGTCAACGCATAACACCTACTGAGTTTTGAGGGAATTGTATTGCCAAGAAAACACAAGCCTGGACTCCAAAATTCTGTATATGTTTGACCCCTATCATAACCCTAAAATCCCAAACCTGCACCAAGAGGAAGCCGGGTGTGAAAGCTGTGCAACCTCAAACAGGGGATAGTCTCCAAGATACTCAGGGGGATAATGGATAAGAAAGAACTTGTCAGGGCCGGCCAGTGGCTTAGCGGATAAGTGCGCACGCTCCACTACTGGCTGCCCAGGTTCGGATCCCAGGCGCGCACCGACGCACCGCTTCTCCGGCCGTGCTGAGGCTGTGTCCCACATACAGCAACTAGAAGGATGTGCAACTATGACATACAACTATCTACTGGGGCTTTAGGGAAAAAAAAAGGAGGATTGGCAATAGATGTTAGCTCAGAGCCGGTCTTCCTCAGCAAAAAGAGGAGGATTAGCATGGATGTTAGCTCAGGGCTTATCTTCCTCACAAAAAAAAAAAGAAAAAAAAAGAAAGAACTTGTCAAAGAGCAAAGCCAAGAGCCCCCGAGAACAATGGACAAGGGAGTTCTCCCTGCACCGAGAACTTACTCCATTACCAGGACAGGGAATCCATAAATTCCTGCCCAGCACAATTTGATCGTTGCTATAAACCAGTGACCACTGTGTGTGGAGCTTTAAAAAGTACTGATGCCTAGGTCCCACCCTGAGATTCTGATTTCATCATATGGGGTGAGGCCCGGGCATGGGGAGCTTTATAATCTCCCCACATGATTCTAATAGAAAGCAAAGTTGAGAATCAGTGCTTCAGGGCCTTTTGCAACTCTAGGTCTGGTTTGCAGCCCAGCAGCCTCAGCATCACTTGGGAACTTGTTAGAAATGCAGAATCTCCAACCCCACCTAGACCTAGTGAATCAGGAACCTGCACTTTAACAAGATCTCCAGGTGATTCACATGCATATTAAAGTTTGAGAAGCATGGGTCACGTCCTCTTACCAGCTCTGATTTTTATGTGAGAAAGAAATACAAGTTCTATTTTTTTCAAGCCACTCTCATGTTGGTCTCTGTCTTAACATACACACATTTAGGTGATCAGGTGATGCACATGCTTTTGTTCCTGAGGGAATCTACATGGCAGGACCCAAATCTATGGAGCTGTCAGAAAACTGTTCCAAGGGGACCGACCCGGTGGCGCAAGCGGTTAAGTACGCGCGCTCCGCTGCAGCGGCCCGGGGTTTGCCGGTTCGGATCCTGGGTACGCACCAATGCACTGCTTGGCAAGCCATGCTGTGGCAGCATCCCATATAAAGTAGAGGAAGATGGGCACAGTTGTTAGCCCAGGGCCAGTCTTCCTCGGCAAAAAAAGAGGAGGATTGGCAGATGTTAGCACAGGGCTGATCTCCTCAGGAAAAAATAAATAAATAAATGAAAAAGAAAAAAACAAAAAAGAAAACTGTTCCAAGGAAACCATGTGCCACCTAGTCTGCCTGAAGCTTAGCTGGGAGGATGTGATGGGAATGGGCATCAATTTGAGCTGTTGAGATGTGATTCATCATGGCTGACCAAAGCCTTGTGCTCAGCCCAGCTCAGGGGTCCTTGGGCCAACTGCCTGCAAAAAGGAAGAGATATAATGTAGCCGAGGAGACAAGCAGCAGATTCAGGCTGGAGACAAAGACTTTACCACAGGGTCTCCAGATTCTACGAACCCACTGATAGGATCATTGGACTTAGGGCATGCTGTGGCCGTTTAGTAACCTGTCCCTTTGCCCATGTTGTTGACACAGCCTGAGATGCTCTGCCCTATATCATCCGCCTCTAGAATCCTACTCATTCTTCAAGGCCCAGCTCAAGTCTTACCTTGGTCTTCCTTTGCTGGGGGACAGAGCAGAGTGTCCCATGAGGTGCTTGCTATGGGGCAGGTGCCCTTCACTGCAGGTGAGTGAGAGCCTTGGTTGGTGAGAATGTGGTAGGTAAGTTAGTGCTGTGTCCTCCAC